TGAGAGAGTTTTAAAATTGATGAGTGAGAGAAGCGTCCTAGAGACATACATTTGTACACCAATTAACGCAAATGTTCTATAATAAACTTCAAAATTAAAGTAGTTTATAGACAATGTCAAGCACGACCTCAATTTAATTAAGTTCAAATACTAATATGTAATAGTTTACACATACATAATTACAAAATATAAACTAAGAAATCACCCTATTCAAATACACATGGTAGCCCATTCAAGAATAACCTGTAATAACTTGAGCACTACTTACATTTAGCACTGATGCATCCATATCCCAGCCTAAAAAATATATGCCATTCACAATTCAAAAATACACGTCATTCACAATCATGCACACAACATTTGTGCTCACTCTCTCTCACTGAGATTATAATGGCACACAACATTTGTATGTTATCTGTTAAGACATTTGTGATGCAACATTCACAATTCATGCATTCATAAAGAAAACCATGTACAAAACCAGCCCATTCAACAATAACTGTAATAGTTTAAATATACATCAAAATGCAATAGAATGAAGACAACATTCGTCAAGGACTCATATTTGTGGCCACAAAATAAGGTCCATATAAAATGTAGAACAATGTTTAATTACAGGTGCTAGCGATTTAGGTAGGCCTCCCACAACTGCGTCACCATGGCATCTCACACAACGAGATGCAAAAAAAGAATTTGTCAACTAAACTATATCAAATTACAAATTCACAGGTGATTAAATAGCAAAACAATCAAGCTCAACCTCAACAAAAATTAGTCATTCATCAAAATCTAATAACAACTAATCAACAAGAATTACTTTATGGGAAAGTGCACTATAATCGAATTTACTATATAAAACATAGTCCATTCAATCATCATCATCCAGGTAAAAAACAACTTAAAATTTTAATGGAGACAAATCCCTATTTTAGCTAAAAAAAAATAAGCTCACAAGGATTATTATGTAATACGAACATCATCCAGAACAAAAAAAATCTAAAATTTTTAATGGAGACAAATCCCTGTTTTAGCCAAAAAAAAAAAAAAGCTCACAAGGATAATTATCTAATACGAACAAAACCATTGTTTCATCATATGCTAATTTCCTATAAAAATGGTCACTGCAGCAATGCTTGCGACCAATGTGAATCACAAATGTGAACAAAACAATTGGTCTTAGTGCACATTTTTATATAAATTAGTAGTAAATCGATGTGAAAATATTCCCACACTTAACCGCATTAGAAATTTTTCACATGAAAATATTTCCTTGAAAATATATATTAACTATCCTCAAGATAATTATCCAAATTCCACTCTTTATCGGCAAAAATAGCATCTCGAGATTGAACAAAGAGGGTCCAATTTTTGGTGCATGAGATTTAAATGTTGACTTAGAATATAATTTAGGATCCGTCTGAATCCATGGAAAATGATTACCTGGAAAACTCAATTTCGTTTGAAATGCATTTCTTGATAAAAGTATTTTCTATAAAATAGATTTTTGTTGTTTGAAGGGAACATGGATGCATAACATTTTCATTTTTTTTTTTTAGCTTTTTTCATTAAATGCTTTTGATTGTATTATTCATTATAATGTCATTTTTTCATTAAATTTCATATAGTTTCTCTCTCTAAAACTTTTGGGATAATTTCTCTATCTAAAAAATTTCAAGTAGTTTCTCTCACTAAAATTTGACACAATTTCTTTCTTTAATATTTTAAGATATTGTCTCCCTCTAAAATTTTTGAGATAGTTTCTTTCTCTAAAAATTTTAGATACTTTTTCACTCTAAAATTTAATATAGTTTCTCTCTCTAAAATTTTAAGATACTTCTCTCTCTAAAACTTAAAATATGAGATAGTTTCTATCCCTAAAAATTTCACGATGGTTTCTCTCTAAAAGCTTCTTCCTCTAAAATTTAATATAGTTTCTCTCTTTCTAAAATTTAAGATACTTTCTTTCTCTAAAACTTAAAATTTGAGATAATTTCACTCTTAAAACTTTTAGATATATTTTCTCTCTCTAAAAACTTTGACGCACTTTTTCTCTCGGAAACTTTAAATTTGATATAGTTCCTCTCTAAAAATTTTGAGATAGTTTCTCTCTCAAAATTTTGAAATATTTTCTCTCTCTAAAAATATTCGGCTACTTGCTCTCTTTAAAACTTAAAATTTGATATAGTTTCACTGTCTAAAGTTTTAAGATACTCCTTCTCTAAAACTTAAAATTAAAGATAGTTTCTCTCTCTAAAATTTAAGATACTTTCTCTCTCTGTAACTTTAATTTTGATATAGTTTCTCTCTCTAAAAATTTAGAGATAATTTCTCTATAAAAATTTTCAAATATTTTCTCTCTTTAAAACTTAAAATTTAAAATAGTTTTTCTCTCTATAAATTATGAGACAGTTTATCTCTCAAAATTTTGAGATATTTTCTCTCTTTAAAATTTTTCAAGTATTTGCTCTTTCTAAAACTTAGAATTTGGTATAGTTTATCTTTCTAAACTTTGATATCGTGATACAGCAATGCCCCAGCCAATAGTCCGTGGCTGAGCAAAAAAGCGCCATAAAACCCAAAGGGGAAGAAAAGGGCAATAATATAATACGGGGAATTATTTGAGTTTTATTTTTTATTTCAATTGTTATTTCTTTACTTCATTAGGGGCAAGTTTAGTCATTTATATTTATGTTAAAAATGGGTATATATGATGGCCATGATTTGATAGGAGCTTTTTAAGGCTATAAGTTATTTCAGTTCTTATTATTGAAGGGTTTAAAGAGTTGAATTGTTATTTTATTAAGAGAACTTTTAGTAAATAAACTTTGGGAAGTGGATTCTTTTGGATTTACGATTTTTCCTTCATTATCTACTCTTATTCTCATTGAGGCTTGTTGTCTGTTATAGCTCTCTGTAAATTAAGGTGCTGATTTTATGAATAATCAATCCAAATTGGCATTTTATAATTTCTCTTTTTAAAATTTTAATGTACTTTCTCTCTTTAAAACTTAAAATTTCAAGTAATTTCTCTCTCAAAAGAATTTATCAGATCAAGGATCAGGGAATCATTTTCTCATATACCCATTGGAGAAAAATGAATGTTGACCCATCTTCTTCATATAAATTTGGGAAATCAGAGATATGAGAATACACACAGCAATCACATGGCAAAATTACAGATCCTCCAAAAAGCTTCTATTTTCTCCCTCTTTATTTGGTTCCTAAATAAATTCGGGCTCTACGATTATCAGTTTAATGACACTGTCTCTGATTTCCGGTCTTATCTCTCATCCTTGCTCCATCAATTGTACTAATGGGCATAAATGCACATAATACGGTTAAAAAAATGACCAAGCTGACATCCAAGTTGGTGACTCAAAATCAACCTTTAATATACATTTATGAAAGAGGCCACTTTTGAATAGGTGTGTATTGACACACCAAAATTCTATCTATGTATAAAACAGTGTGTCTACTATTTGCAAAATCGTGCCGTTCAAATTGGAACCGCCCGGTTAGATCGGAATTGGTATTTGACCTCGATTTTGGTTGGTTTTGATGATCCGACTGGATATTTAAAAAAAATTCAAAACACTTTATATGAAATCCCAGAAAATAAAGGATTTGTTTGTAATGCGTTTTTTAATGCTTTTCTTCTTTTTGGAAAAGATTGGTAACTGTTTTGGCCATTAATACTTATTTTTACATTTTTTTTATTTTTAAAAAATTTCAAAAATACCTCTGAACACAAATCGATTTTTTAAAACACATTTATTTATTAATTTTCAACTTCATTTGAATATGCATTGTTTAATTATACTTTAAATACATTTTTCTTATTGCTTTAAATTTTTTATATTTTTATTTTTTAAATATTTTTTTGACCGGCTGGCACTTACTCTGTGAGGCCGGTTTACCGGTTACTTGGAGCCAACCTTTAGTCAGTTTCTGAGGCCGGTTCCATTTACGGACACTGGTCAAATATGCTCTACTAGGAGCATTACAGTATCGTTCCCTTATACAAAAAAAGCTACTTAGGAGGACTTTTTCAATCTTAAATTTTTTTTTATCGATAATTATTTCGAAAAAACCATGAAATAGTTTAATTCTTAAATACTCATGTACGGCCTTATAAAATTTGTTTTATAATGCCCAAATTTCCCCTTTACATAGACATTTGTTTTAAAATACCCAAATTGCCCCTATACCATTTTTGAGTGACTGAACAAATAGGGGTATTTTAATAATTTGGCCTTATTTATGTCGCGGGACAAAAAATGATGTCATTGCCAATGCTTATTATGAATTTTCATGTTAAAATCTCTTGTTTATGGTTACTAAAACAAAATAACAAGAGGTATTTAGGTTAATTGGCACAAACAAGAAGGCATGTGCAAAATAACCAATCAACCCTCATTTATTCAAGATTAGGAACCCGAAAATACTTTTTTCATGGGGTGCACTTGTTCCCGTTTGCTATCTCTAAACAAGAAGGGCTAATATTGTCATTATGCTGAAAATGGTGGTTTTAACGCAGTTCATTCAGGTTTAGGTACTCAAAACTTTCTTTTTTCCATTGAAAGTTATTCTTCTACTGTGTCCTAAGTTTGAATAAAGAGGGGCATTATCATCTTTACTCTTTAATTAAGGCCTCGAGCAACATGACAGTTTAAGTAACATGGAATTTGCTTTTTTTTCTTGAACATTTTTCTTCTAATTTTCAAGCCTGAATAAGTAAAGTTTCCCCTATCATGTATTTTAAGGCACTTAAGTAGGGTCAAGTTACTAAAATGCCCCAGTTTAGGCTTCCAAAAACTAAAGAGGGCCATGGTGGTAGGCGTTAGGTAAGTCCCAAATCCCAATATTCTATTTGTGCATGTCATACATGAAGAGAAGTGAATATGTGAGTGAGAGAAAAAAAAGTATACATCAATACAAATAAAGCAGGAAACAGACGAATTATATAATAAAAGGATTGGAAATGAGAGCCAATGCATCTATTAGTTGGTTGTTGCTCTTTTAAGCAAAGATAACTTATATGCTTTGATAACAGGAACCTTCAATTCTGCTCAAATATTATTAATCTAACAGATATTTATTTACTAATAGCACATTGAAAACCTAAGTGCATAAAAACTTTAGTAGCAATGGTCTCATATTCTTTTGGACAATGCACAACCAAGGGTTGAAGCTATCTTGGCCTTCCCTTGCTTTCCATGACTCATGTGTGAAGTCTCATCCGTAAAGAAATACTTGAGTGGGAGAGGCCCAACAAGCTGGTCTTTCCCTTCCTATATTGTCTTTGCTGCTTGTCTATGTACCCCTTGTGTATAATGGAATGAGTCAAACAATACGTGCGTACTCACATTTCGGCACAAATGGTAAATTTTGGCCCCATACGTTCCGCCACAGGTAGTCAAGCCCCAAAATGGCCCGGTTCCGCAACAGACATTCAGTCCATCAGAGAATCCTGTGATATGGTTAAGTTCTTTCATGGTTCAATTGTAATTTCGATAGAGTTATGAGATGAGGTTTTACTTATTTTAATAGGGCTACAGCCCTATCAAACCATTTTTCATATAAATATCCACTTTAGTCTTTGGACTTACTATCATACTAAGTATTGGCACAAAAAGAACTCACAAAATTATATAATAATTGGATAACTATATGTTGTTTATTTTCTCTTTGATAAAACTCATTTGCATGTTGCCGCATATCTCATACAATATTGGTTTATTGTGAACTTTTTTAAGAATGAGATGCTCTATACTGAAACTACAAATATCAAAGACTAACCATATTTTATGGGGCCTTGGGTCCTAGCCTTGATGAACATGAAATGGTCGAAGAAGATGTACTTAAGGCCCACCAATTTGGATGCAAAGCCGATTAAGAGTTGCTCCAAAGCATGTTGTGATATTCAGAGATATAAGTAGCAGGAGCGAAGCATGAGCCGTCCTGTGTCTTTAAGCACATACCCGGCAGGCATCCTATGTCCTTGAGTGACATGAACAGAAACTTTCTTGCTCCATGATTGAATAGAACCTACATGAAAAATAATACATGATCAGAAGGTTCGAGATTGAGAGACAGAGAGAGCAAGAGACCCACTTATGGTAAGTTCGAAAGATAGGATGACTTTCTGATCTTTATTGAAGGATAAACAATATCTGTTTTATCTTCTCTTCGATTGTTACATTGGGTTGAAACCTACAACCTCGTTGTAGCAACAAATAGAAGTTACACTGATTATGTTAAACGTAACTGTATATGTCTATAGGGTTAATTGTAGATGGTGTATATTATAGTCAATGTATATAGGAAAGGTAGGTGCACTATTCTGCACTTTATGGGAAAGGTAGGTGCACTATTGTGTTTTTATGGTAAGTTTAGATATAGTTTAAGTGTATATGATTTATTTCTAATCTTGTTATTTGTAATTGTCTATATAAGACAAGCTTGTATATTCATATTGATTAATGGACTCAGTGAGTATCTACAGAAAAACCCGATACTCTAACATGGTATCAGAGCCCTATCTTGGTTAATCGGTCCTGATTGATCTTGCTTAGTCTTTTGGAAAAGTTATTTTCAAGTAAATAAAAAAAAACTTGATAGCTCCTCAAATCTAAGTTGCTTTTGCAACGGATTGGACACAAAAATAAGGTCCCCTATTTCGCTGTTTATTTCTCTATCTAATTTTCTGATTTAGGTTTTTCTTTTATGGGTCCTTATCTACATTGCGGTCTTCTATATTCCCCAAAAGTCTACGTAAGCCTCACCTCAAATCCTTGTCCGAAAGTGACTTTCGGTAATGGAAATCTCTATGACGGATCTAATATCAATTTCCAATACTGAAAATAAAATTTGAAACTAAAAAAATATACAGATCTTGTGGATCCATGAACACTTATTTTTAGAGCGAAATGGATGGTCTAGATAATTTGTTACAATATACATTATTTTAGAGTTTGAAATCCTAATTTTTTTCATAACCATAATGTTCAAGCCGAGACGATTGTTGTAAAGGATTCCAAATACTTGAATTGCAATTTTTAATGAGCTATGAGATAAGGCTTTAGTTGTTTTAATAGGCTGCAGCCCTATCAAACCATTGTCTTGTTTTTAATCTCTTTCTCAGTTTCCTTTCCATTTCTAATGTGTTTTTCGACTTTTGTTGATCATTGCCTTTTCCCTATAGTTGTCTCTCTCGTAAATTAGTTGTTAATACCTTGCGTCTTCCTATCTCATCTTTATTGTTAATTGTTGTGATTTAAAGGTCGATTTTGTACCTTCCCTAGAATTTTGAATTTTTGTGTCCATTATTCGGTGGTCTCTTTAAAGATTGAAAATTATTAATTTCTCACTCACAGTGCAGTGGAATTTCCTAAATCCCCCGTCCCAATCATTCCATATCCTGTTACCAAAAAGAATTTACTTGTTCCTATTATTCACTCAAGTACTCCTTTTTGTTTTCTGTCGAACCAAAGTCTGATATCAGAGCTTGAGATCATCTCGTCCTCTCATGTTCATGTATGATTGAATATGTTGTTTTATTACTCGATCTTGTATGTCTATTTGCGAGCTGCTAAATCGGTCTCAAATATGCTCGAAGTTTTGTTGGCTCTTCCATCATTATGTTTTCTTGGCCTCGACTGTTTTCATATCTTTGGTGACGATCTGAATATTGGTCCATTCTTGAAGTCTGATGATCTGATGTTACTCGAGCCTACTCTACTCTTGTTGTGTATTTATGAAGCTTGTTGATATGCTACTAATTGAATCTGCTCTGTTCTTGCCATATGTTTTTGAGGCTTTGTTGATGTACTGCTCCTCAAGTCTGTTATGTTTTTGTTTTCTAATTCTGAGGCTTACTTATCTGTTATTGCTTGAGCATGCTCTACTTTGTTATTCCTCTATGCTTGTTGATCAAGCAATCTAAGCATAGCAATCACTGCTTCTATTGGTCACGCTATGCACTTGAAGATCCAACTATTTATTTTTGCATTTTAGTGTTCAAATTCCAGCTGCTCTCTCTTATCATCTTGAGCTTGTGGGGAGTGTTAAAAAATGTGTATATGTCTACATGGTTAATTATGGAAGGTGTATATTATAACCAGTGTATATAGGAAGGCTAGATGCAATATCATGTATTTTATAGTGAGTCTGGATTTATTTTAGGTATCTGTAATTTATTTCTATTCTTATTGTCTGTATTTGTCTATATAAGACAAGCTTGCATATTCATACTGATTAATAGACACGTAGAGTCTCTTCAAAGAAACCTAAGACTCTAACAGATTGAACCAGATTGTAGTGTATCATTATTTTCTCAATCAAGGATTTTCTATTTGGTGGGACTTGTTGAATCGCTCGAACTTGGCCTTGGGCCGAGCCAATTACTAGAATACAAGTAGGGTATATATTAAAAATATTAAAAGATATATAAAAACTGTATAAAATTGTACACGGTAGGTGTAGAAATTATTTATGCAATTTGGATGTGTTTTACATTGACTTATGAGTCTTTATTTTCAAATGCCTTTTCTTTATATATTTTTGAAACATCTTTAATTGTAAATCAATAACTCCACCATTGTCAGTCCCGATTCAAGATAGGAAAAGAGGAGGGTTTCAGAAAATGAAAAAAATTTGCCTCATCCTTATCATGAATTATGATCCGACATTATACGCTCATGCTAGGGCATTCCTTGTGTAAGGTTGGGGATGTGATGGTAGTATCACTTGTGCCTCAACTAAGGTTTAGGCTTCCATTTTCACTTAACGCATTCAAAATACATTAATGATTTGAAAAATGGGTAGGGGATTGTCATCCCTATTAAATTACCCAAAAAAAATAGTAGTGACTAATGGTACTTATGCTATGGCCTTTGATAGAGTGGAATGAAACAACAAGTTTCATATAACCAACCCCAAATAATAGGGATACGGCTCGAATGATGCTACTGATGATGATGATGATTCCAATTGTAGATTGACATTTTCTGAATTCAATTTTTTTATATATATATTTTTCATTGTATTTAGATCCATTATGCTAATTTTCAATTTTGAGTCATTTTTAAAGTTCTCATTATATTTTTAGGAATTTTTAATTTTATTTTATTTTATTTGGGCCTGTACAGTACTCTGCCAGCCAAGTCTACTCTGACTCAATACGGGGCTGAGTAACTCACCTCGGCCTAGGGCTGAGGGTAGTAACAAAATAATGTTCTCAACTATAGATGGAAATCTTCTTTCAAATTTTGTATAAGGTAATCTAATTAATTTGCCATAAGAAAACAAATAAACAGCCACACCCCCACACACACCACAAAAAACCAAAAAGAAAAAAAAAGAAAAAAAGAAAAAAAAAAGAAGGTTTACTTGAGTTTGAGCGGATAAGTTTCCAATCACAATTCTCACAAGATCATCACTGAGCTTTGATAGTTGCAGTTTCAAAATGCCTTCATAGCCTATCTTGTAGTCACAGATTCGAGATGCTGATGCAATACACAGCATTGGAGAATAGTTCTTCAGACTTTACACTCCCCAATTTTCTTCTAAGCTTTTCTTGAAATTCGACGAATTGATTAACTTGCATCTCCAGGTTCAATACTTGAAAATTTTTATGAAATAATCATTCAAAAATTTATTTTGCATCTTTCACTAAATCCAAAACAATGAATTACGCACTCATGTGACCATTGTTTTGGTTGCCCTTTTCTTAATAACACAGTATAATAGCCAAATCAACTTAGAATGGATAAGACACCAGACAATGAGTAATTGAAAACATACACAAAAGGGTGACAATGAGCTGGAACTTGGCTGGGCCGGCCCTGGCATTAGCCCGATCCTAGTCCCCATAGAGTCAGCTTCAGCACAGGCTGGCCTTGGCCTAGACCGGGCTCTGTCCTACCCTCGGGCTACCAGAGCCTAGCCCAAGCCTGGCTGTCCTGCGACTTTCTCTGACCCAGGCCATAGTCTTTTAAGGCCGCCACCTTGCCCACTGCCAGACCTACACACACAAGATCAATGGAAAGGAAAGAGGGTGCAAAGAATGCACAGTATTATTGGAATGTATACTTATGAGATAACTGCCATTTTTAATCCCTAAGTACGGTTGGCAAAGGACCAAGACCCGACCAAAGAACCGCCAGGTATACCCGACACGGGTCTGGGTCCAAAACTTGGACTTGAACGCTATTTGGGTCCACGTTCAAGTCTAGTTGGAACAGACCCATATCCAAAAACTATTGGAGATAAAATACTTGAAACCCTTTTTATTTAGGTGTATTAAGGATCTTGTATAATAAAAATTTGCAGTCATCTTTAGCTATTAAATAACAAATCAGACGGTTTGAAATCTAATGGCCGGGGATTGTGACCTTGTTGCTAATAATATGGGTATATGATGATAAAAAAAGGCAAAAAAACAAAATAAAAAGAAGCTCATAATGAGGGTAGCAATGGACTCCGCCAGACCCGGGTCCTGATGGGATTACCCTAGGACCCGACTGATATAGATATGGGTCTAACTTTTGGACTCGACAGGTCAGGTTCGGGTTCAAAACATGGACCCAAATACTATCCAAGTCTGGGCCCGGGTCAAGCCGGATCTGACCCGTTGCCACCCCTATCCCTAAGGACATATGATTCCTGGAGTTCAATCCAAAAAACGAGAAAAAAAAAAGAATAAATAGGTGATGTAAACTAGCAGCATTGAAAAGATTTGAAAATAATTGAAAAACAAAATTTCTGAGGTCGCGTTACCTTTCCTCTGTATATTTCCACAACGATTCCTGCAGCAACTGATCCCAAGTTGGCTCCATAAGAAAGGTCAGCATGCGGCTGCAAATATGGTGAGATAAGTGGTAGGTTTGCAAGCTCAGCTACAAGTTTTGTAAACAAAAAAATAAAAATATATATTCTTACACCACTTAATTTTTCTAAAAAGAGATAAATTATATGCCCTTTTTAGGAGAAACAACTTCTTTTGCCCTGTGCAAGCTAAAATTTCACTAGTAAAAAAATCCTTATCATCTTTTGAAATTTATTGTAAAACCTTCCTTTAGATATCTAACCTTGTAAAAATTCATGAGAAAATGATTTAGAGCTGTGCATTTTATGTAATGCATCGCATTTGGTTTAAAAAATAATGAGAGTTTCCCTTCATAAGCGTTTTTTCCCAATATTATGTAATGCATTACATTCGTGGGTCAGTCCAATGTTTAATATATCGAACCACCCTATTTGGGGTAACTTTCTTTAGCGTAATTTCTTTTTATTTCAACGGTATGAGCTTTTGAACATTGGACCACTATCGAATTACTTTTTGTTTTTCTCTAAGTTTTTTCAGTTTTGATGTTAGTAACATTAGACCACCCCATAGAAAATAGTGAGCCAAAAATGTAGGGCGGTTTGATGTTCCTGTTATTGAATTGCCCTACAAATGGGTTGGTTCAATATCGTGATCAAAAACTCGAGTTGGTCAAGGAACTCGGGCTCTGGCCACAGCAATTTACTCAGGCGAGTCCAAATAACCCTCTCGAGTCCAGCTCATTTAAAAAAAGAAGAAAAAGAAAAACACATAATATTTATATTTAGTGAGCAACTATTTAACAATAAATATTTAATGCTGTGTTGGTTATGCTGTGGGATAGTGGCGGCCGCCCTAACAGAGGTTGCGGGTTTGAATCTTGATGGCTTATGATTTTTTTTTGAAGCTTCTATGAAATAAAAAGAAGTGACAGTTTTTACAAAAGGAAAATTGATTTTTTTTTTTTGAAGCTTCTATGAAATAAAAAGAAGTGACAATTTTTATAAATGGAAAATTGTTTCATACGGGTCGGATCACATTTCTATAATATGTGGTCCAGAGATATAAAGCATCCATATTAAAAATGGATGCAAATAGGTGGTCCATCTAAAAACCATTGTAAGTAATGGTCCAAAATATGTGAAATCTTATGCATAAACACTAACCAGAGAGTTTTAAAAATAGTTGTGGCTTAAATGTGACGTATAACTATATAAATATAGTTTATAAAATTGGTGTACAATCAACTCACCTCGCCAATACAGCGAGGCCGAGTTACTCGACCGAGTCCGAGTGGCCTAAGTTGAGTTTTAAAACCGTAATTCAATATATTAAATAAAACCCTGTCCCCTGTGGCCTATAGCATCAACAAAAAAAAAAAATACAAATGAAAAAGTAAGCGCTTCGATGTAAACATCGAACCGGTGGTGAGGGGAGCGGGGACGGGGTGGGTGGGGCAGATTTTAAAAATAAGAAAAATAAAAGGAGTAGGACCTCATAGTAAAATAAAGAACTCATAGACCAAAGCATAATTTTCAAAATTCTACCAACCTGTACGTAAAAAACACTAAAAAAAGCATCAAAATAGCAAAATTAGACACTACTGCAAAGAAAACTGAAGTTCAACATGATTTATTTTGGGTGCAACTTCATAGGTTAGACGCATGACTCTCCTAATTGTCTTCCCAGGCCAAAGCTTGGTGAGCAAAACTAACATCTTTATTGCACGTTTATGTTATTTTACTTTCCATTTTTCCTCTTTTTTTTGGTGATTTTTGTGGCTTTGGCCTTTTAATGCTGCCTGCATTAAACATGTCTCAGCGGAAAACACACATATTTTAGATAAGGGTTATTTTGTATTATTATAGTATTAAACGTGGAATATGAAATAAAAATGATTATGATGGACTATATTATTATTTATGAAAATTGTTATTATGCAATGGAATATAAATTAAAAAATATAAATTATTCGAATCTTTTTTTAATTAATAATTTTCAACACATATTTGAAGTTCGAAGGGATAAAATAACAGAGAATCTCAAAAGTTAATTTTGCAAACTTTAAACAATTCAATTAAGGCGTACTTTTAAATTTTATCATAAATGTAATTTTCATATAAAAAGTTCTTAGGATTTTTCAATTATAAAAGTTTAAACTCTAAAAATAGTTCAAATTAAGTAGATCTATAAATACATGAAAATATTGAAAATGGAACGTACACATAATGTATTAGAAGATACACTATTTCGTGGGCTCAAAATCTTTTTTTCTTTTCATATTCATAGATCTTACACGATGTCGAGATGATCAATTAGAGGGTTTTCCAACATCCAAACAACCTTCTATGATGATTTTTGAGGTGCACCTTTTCTAATCATGCTGAACCGGAGAGAGCTTGAAACAAAGGGAGCGGCAATAGAGAGGGAGGGAGGAAACCACAACGGGGAAGAGATATCACGACCGAGAAAGAGGGAGGGATGAAAACTAGGGGTAACAAAGGGTCAAGTCGGGTTGGGTCTGCCGGACTTGGACTTTCACCCGACAAGACCGAAGTCATTGGACCCAGACTTAAACCCGAAAATATAATGTGGGACTTGGATTTGGATCCGGACATGATTGGACCCTACCCAAAAATTAAAAATCTATGTATTTAAATACATTTTGATATGTTTTTATAAATTGGGAAATGTGGGACCTGGACCCGATCCGACGCAGACGTGGACCTGAATAGTGTTCAGGTCCAAAATTTGGACCCCGACCCGAGTCGGGTCTAGCCTTCGGGTCACATATTAGGGTCTCTCTGGCTATGCCCACCGCTTGATCTAGTTGCAGATAAAAGTGAGGATATGATGCCCATATCTAAGATTTTGATATTTGCGCTTCCTATAACCATTTCCTCTTTAAGAGAGAGGCAGAGGACCAAGAATTTGGGTAGAGAGGAAGATTTGCAGGTATGGAACAACATGGGGGAAGATAGATCTCATGAGTCCTAGAGAGAGAAGTATAGTAGTGGATAGAGAGAGAAAGAGTTTTCTCACATACTAAGAGGGAGAATGTGCACCCCTCAAAATCCATGCATCTGCAAAAAAATATTACGTTCTTCTACAATGGCTAGTTAACCTGAATACCAAACATCATTTATGCTTAACCCTTTAACCTCAAATGCATAGCCGAAAGAACAGTTTAACACAGAGGTCCTTATATAAAGCTAATAACAGGTTGAATTACGAATAACTTTAGGGCATAAGATCTTAAACCTGAATTTAAGCATCTGTGAAGACAGATAGGACCTGTGTTTTCCGAAATTTCAAAGATAAAAGAAATGGAAGAAACTGAATACAAATGAAATCAGTTATAAGTCGGCCGTCTGAGAAACGTCCACTTGGTTTGCAGAAGAATTCAACTGCATTTTCACCATAAGGGAGGTAATTAGCGTGGACGTCCCTAGTGGTATTGATGTTTTGGAGTCTACTGTTAAATCCCCAAACATAAAAAAAACCTTATCCTTTCAGCATTGACACTCCCCTCCAATGGCAAAAGAGCATACAACAGTGCTACACATATGCTGTAAAAAGCCTTCCCCATCAGTAAAACTGAACCTAAATGTAAACCGGTTCTAATCAAAGGGACAACAACTTTTAGAGGAAGAATATGGGGGAAGGTTTAAACAATCCATCAGGCCCTTTATTATATAGGGCTGGCTTTCTTAATGACTATTGCTAGTGGGAAATTGTTTTATGTGGGCTGGACCGCATTTCTACATATGCGGTTCAGAAAGTGTAAAGTATCCATCTTACAAATGAATGCAAGTAAGTGTTTCATCCAATGGTTTAAAAACCGGATCGGTGACCCGGATCGGGCTTTTCAAAAACAGATCCGGATCGGCGAATCGGCGATCCGGATCGGCGAATCGGCAATCCGGATCGGAATCGGGTGAATCGGTCAGAATAAAGCTTCAAAAAAATCCGAAAAAATTATTAAAATTCATTATAAATATTGGTTTTTAGGAATTCAATAAAAAATGAGGGTACTCCATTAAGAATTTTCATGTTTTTGAATGAATATGCGAATATTGATATGTTCTTTCCCTGCATGAACCGCCATTCAACATTTAATTTACAGTATTTCGTGCTCATCCCTACACTGTTGCTGTTGGGACTCGATATGTGAATAATATGGCTGGGATAGGGTGA